CATCCTAGTTTCTCTTGTTACCTTTGGTTTGCTTAAATAGATGACCCCTCATGATCAAACCCTCTATTTCATCCTTCAGCTAGATGTAGCCATTGGTGGTGTGGCCATGACAATTATAGAAACAACAATACTTTGATTTATCGGTCTAGAAAAGGGTTATTTACCATGGTTTTTCGAAACTTTGTGCTAGCACATTATTTCCATATTTTCTATTGGTCTGTTAAGGGGATTGTACTTGTTAAACCGATTATGGGTCCCGAGGTCGCCTTCCTTTCTATGCTAGTTAGACTCCTTCCTTGATGATCGGCTAGAGCATGTGTCTGTCAGTGCCTGGCCATTTCCTTAGGAAATAAGTTTTTCTTCATAATTAATAAAAGGGCTAAGTCTTATTTAGTACCTCTTTCAAATCGTTGGCATACTAACACCCTAACTTATCTCTGAAGAATCTATGTTGCTTTAAGCCATTTTAAAAATATAGCATTTCAGGCTCTTGTCGGAGCCTCCCACTTCCACATCTACTTTCGTAAAGTGGTTGATATACGCCTGCAAACTCTCCTTCTTCCCCTAGGTAATCCTGCAGAGTGTGTCTATTTTTGTAGGTTGCCTCTTCTAGGAAGTGAATCAAACACTAAAGTTTTCACACAAGTTAGTACATGAACCAATACTCTTGTCACGAAGAGGTTTAATCTAGATTATAGTCGATCCTATTAGAGTTAATGCAAAGAGCTTTCACTTTTTCGCATCATCAGAGTGATACTAATCTAGAAGATCATCATCATACTGCACATGCTCATATGGATTTCCCTTTGTATCTCAATTATTAAGCTTTGGAGGTTTCTCCAATGATTTTAGTAATCAGCTATCAAGGATACGACCATAAATATGATGCTTATTTCGGTCTTTAACCGAAGGCTTCTCATTTGTTCTTCCTCCTTCTGGGGGTGGCAAACCTTAAGGGGAGGGTGTTTGCCTCTTCCTCCTTCAAGACTGTGAGGAAGAGTCTGGCATCTTTGGCTTCTCTGATGGCTTGGAGATTCTTGGAGCTACATCCCGACAAGATGTTGTCGATTTGGGGATGGTGGTATGACTCCTTTGGGAAATAATCTCATGTATCGTGTTTCCCTTCAGATTTGCATTATACTAGCTTTCCTCGAGGCGGGGTAACCTTTCTTCAATTGCATTCAAATTATGTTGTTGAACCATGTTGTAAACATTGTTCAACAATTCGTTAGTGCCACATCGAGGTTGACTTGCAATAGTCGGAAATTAGGTATTTCCTTCGGTATAGGTACCATTGGCGGTGTTGGGAGCCTTAGCAATAGTTCACCTTGCAAAAATAGTAGATAAGTTACGAGGACATATTCACTACCATTTTAAGGACAACGTAGTGGATCTCTTGCACCTAAAGCAACTACAGTTGCTTCGCGTTGTGCAACAGAGTGAGTAACTTTAAAACATGCCAATTCTAGTGGATCTGGATGAGATATGAGAAACGGTGTTAATCTTCGATTAGAGAGGATCTAGAGCATAAATCTGCAGTTCAAATTTAGGAAATTTGAATATCCATGTTGAGGAAGACTCAGTTCAGCGAATCGAATGATCAATGTTCAAACATGGAAATGCGAGAACCAAATGATGATTTCCACATATGGCGCCACTGTTCCGCAAGGGAACGAGAATTGGTATTAACTGACAAATGTCAAATGTGGATTTAAACAATAAGCTTGCGCTTTCAATGTGGTGGCAGTGAAACTGACCTGCAAAGTTAACACTAAAATGACTTAGTTAATATGAGAGTAAGATGAGGTGAATGAGATTTGAATTCAAAATGTGTTTGAGAAATGACATGAATGCTAATTATATAGTAGAATGGTTATAACTGCTGTTGATCTCTTGGTATGGAGTGAAAAGATGTGTTTGATTGAGATCACCTGCATTCTTAATTAGGATAACATACTTGCACTTCATGTGATACAGTGGATTGTTCAGCTCTTTGGGCCATGATTACTAGATCATTTGGTCAATCTAGAAATATATAAAAGTCAGGATCCATTGACATCAAATGTAAATTTAAAAGACTTACACCAAATCTCGATCATTAAAAGGATTGATCAAACAGTCATATTAAATAAAATATGACTCATTCTTTTCGCTGAAAAATAAACTATATAGGACCGTTTGATCAAGTATTATTAAAGATTGAGATTTGGTGTGAGTCATTATATATATATATATATATATATATATATATATATATATATATATATATATATATATATATATATATATATATATATATATATATATATATATATATATATATATATATATATATATATATATATATATATATATATATATATATATATATATATATATATATATATATATATATATATATATATATATATATATATATATATATATATATATATATATATATATATATATATATATATATATAAATAATGGGTTCAACTTACACTAAGAGTAAGTGTTTTTTATCTTACTCCAAATCATAACCTTTAAATTAGATTTAATCGAATTATATATATATATATATATATATATATATATATATATATATATATATATATATATATATAAATAATGGGTTCAACTTACACTAAGAGTAAGTGTTTTTTATCTTACTCCAAATCATAACCTTTAAATTAGATTTAATCGAATTAAGAATGACTAATGCAAATTTAATCCTTATATTAAATTCAATATAAAGACTATGATTTGGAGTAAGATAAAAAAAATTACTCTCGAAATAAGTTGAACCCCACTATATATATATATATATATATATATATATATATATATATATATATATATATATATATATATATATATATATATATATATATATATATATATATATATATATATATATATATATATATATATATATATATATATATATATATATATATATATATATATATATATATATATATATATATATATATATAATTCAATCATTTAATGTTGTTGAAATATTCTTCAAATACACACCTTTGTTTTTTGGACTTAACATCTATTTTTTAATTGATAGGAAAATCCGCATACACACCATTGTTGTAAGGTATTCAAAATATTGAATTAAATATTAAAAAAACAATAAAATGGATGAATTATTAATATTTCTAAAATGCATTTAGCATATGGCATATTATGGAAAGCATTAATAAATATCACAAGAAAGATAGTAAAGACATTTGATAGGTTTAAATATTATTATTTTCTAAATAAAATTGCGCATATATGTTAAAATAGATTGATTTTATAAAAAAATTCATTTTGATAAGTTTAAAATTTTGAAAAATGCATCCTTAATAGAAAATAAATAAATTTAATAGCTACTATTCAATAAAAGAAAAACTACTTTAAATTAAAAATACAAATTAAATATTCATTTTTAATTAGGATAAAACGTATATATATTTTGATATTTATATAAAAAATTAATAATTTACAAAAAGATATAATGATACAAATATAGAAAAATATAAATTAAACTTATCTGTATTGTAATATTAACAGTTCTAGTATTTATCAATTTTGTCGACGACTAATATCTATAAAAGGCCAGAACCACTGTCATTATTAAAGTCTATAACCCAAAATATATGACCTGCATTACAAAATATTTTGTTTCTTCTTATTGGGATGAGTGTTCCTTGTGCTCTTGATCAAAATAATCTCTTTTTACTTATTAAAAAATAAGTGTGATAATATTATCGACTATTATTTATTTTTATAAAACTAACTTAAATATAAAGTCATTATATGTCAATATATAAATTAGAATTAACAATTTATGACTACTTAACAAACCAGATAAAAAACCTGATAATTTTGATGGTTTTTTTCAAGATTTTTAATATATATATATATATATATATATATATATATATATATATATATATATATATATATATATATATATATATATATATATATATATATATATATATATATATATATATATATATATATATATATATATATATATATTTATATATATTTATATATATAAACGATTAATTGAAATACATTATCCGTCTAAAATTATTTTATACTGTCATTCAATTAAAATTTATCAATTTTGACATATAAACATTGAATTAAAATTAAAAAATAAATTATAATTAAACAATTTTAATAATTACTTCTTTTTTTTTATGCCTAAAATAATGAATTATAATTGAATGATAATGTAAAGTGATTTTATACTGACAATTTATCTAATTAATTTGGTATAAGTTTTTTTTATTTAATGTAAATTATAATCTTGAAAGTAAATTTATTCTAATTGTTAATTAAATATAAAAGTTAATTTTGCTCCAAAAAAAATAAAAAATAAAAAAAGTTAATTTAATTAATATATTAGATTCAAATCAAAAGTTACGATTTAAGATATGTTAAAAGACTTACTCTAATAATAAAGTTGATAAACGTGTCCGTGGACGTAGCATAAAGCATGCAAATCGGAGCGAAATGATAGCTCACACCTCTAAATGCACAAATCACACTTTTCACCTTTTTTTTCCTTCTCTCTATTTTTTTTCTTTCTTTCCAAACACCAAATTACCCTTCCAATCCAACACATAATTTCTCTCTACAGCTAACTTTTACTTAATTTTTTTCTCTTTCTTTTCCTTAAAATCCACTGTCTCTATCTCAACAAAAACAAAAACTGAAGACAAGGTTTTGTCCCTTTATAAATATTCTCTGTCTCTCTTTCACTTTCTCTCTATCTCTTTATCAACATTTCACCTCTCTCTCCTTTTTTCTTATCTCCCCTCTTTCTTTTTCAACATATTTCATTCTCATAATCACATAAACCCTACTCCATTATACAGCGATCGAGATTTTACTCGATCGCCTAACCAGTAATTACAAAGAAAGGCGATTATAAATTTTATTGGATCGAAATTTTTTCTTCTATTATAAATTTTATATTATTGTTTGCCAGAGGAGATTAATTAATTATGACAAAAATGATTTGGGACAACAAATTCAATGATGATGAAAATAATATTAACAATGAGTTTGACATTGAGTCATCAAAAGATGATGTTGATGCAAGAACCGGCATGAAGAAAGGACCATGGACCCCACAAGAGGACATGATTTTGATGGAGTACGTGAACAAGCATGGTGAAGGGAATTGGAATTCTGTTCAGAAGAATTCAGGATTGTTAAGATGTGGAAAAAGCTGCAGACTTAGATGGGCCAATCATCTAAGGCCAAATCTAAAGAAAGGTTCATTTTCTGAAGAGGAAGAAAGAATCATCATTCAACTTCATGCTAAGCTTGGAAACAAATGGGCTAGAATGGCTGCTCAGGTATTATATTTCATTAAATTTAATTATATTAAAATTTTGCATAAGATTGTTTTTTTATTTTTCATGATCTATGTTCATTAAATGTTTTGAAATTGCGGCTGCAATATTGTTTACGCTACAAGCACATCGAAATCGAATTGCAGTGTAATTCAAAATCACGTTTCTTTTCACATTAGAAATTGTGTAAGAATTTTCCTTTCACATTAAAAAAATGTATTGGAATTTTTTCTTTCACATTAAAAACCGCGTTGGAATGTTTTCTTTTACGTTAGAAACCGGCGTCAAAGTTTTCTTTAATATTAATTGTTTTTCTAACTGTGTATTTCAATCTTTTCTTTATCAAAATTCACGCCACAACAGCTGGAATCTATTTTGCGATAATCACGATAATCACAATCGCAACATCCGCAATTATATTCGCAACCACAATTTAAAACTTTTGTCATGTCATAGTTTTTTTGTGTGGTTTTCTATGTGAAATTTTTATTGGTTTATTGTATTTGTAATTTAATTTTATAATGGTTTAAGCAAGAAACAAGGGGAAAGGAAGAGAAATCCATTTATTACTCCAATTTTGTTCAATCTTATAAATATTAAAATATTAAAGATTGTAATTTATTTTTGGTTATTAAAATAAAGTGAAAAAATTGTGTTGTCAATTTCACCTTTTGAACATAAATTGATTTTTTTTTCTTTAGCATTTTTAAATAATAATTTTGTACATAGTGAATTTATAATGACCACATTCAAGAAACTTACCTCATTCATTTTGTATGAATCTCACTTTGCCATTTTTGTGTCTTTCTTTCAATATAGTGTAGTTTTGATAAGTTTCCCACTTTCTTAAATTTCTCATTTAAGGTTAAAATAATTATTTTTATGTCTTTTGTGTCATTCTATTATTTTCAAGATAAACATTTTTGAATTGAAGATGTTGATCTTCGTTAGAGAAAGACGTAACCCGAAAATATTCATATTTGAATCATATATATATTTTTTGTTTTTTCAGTTGCCGGGAAGAACAGATAATGAAATCAAAAATTTTTGGAACACGAGGATGAAAAGGCGTCAAAGAGCGGGTTTACCTCTTTACCCTCCTGAAATCCATGCAGAAGCAATTGCGTACAACAATCACATAATGCTTCAACATGAGCCTTTCTCTTCTTCATCATCCTTTCCTTTACTCTTATCTTCATGTTACCCTAAGAAGTTTGAAGATCCAAAAACTTATGATTATAATCCTCTACAAAACAACTCTGGTTCTACTTACACCAATCCATGTCCACAGTTCAGCTTTTCCAATGATGAAACCCTAGAGATTAAGGAAAATCTTGCTTTGAAAAATTCACCTTCACTTTCTCCTTATCCATCTCCATCCTCAAATGTTTTCAACCAAGGTTTTACTCCTCCAAGTGATCATTCACATGATCATCAATATTCTGAAAAGTTGAGCTATGATCATCATGGATTCAATGCTGGATCTCGGTATGATTCTGCAACTCCTGCTTCATCTTATGCTAGTGGTGTTAATGATTACTATGAAGTTGCACCGCTATCGTCTGAAGGAAAAAATAGTGGACTTTTGGAAGATGTTGTGATGGAAGGTAGAAGTATTTCAGGCAATGATAAGGGTAAGAGTGTGGACTCATACAAGAGGAAACGTATGGAGGCTGAAGAATATGAAGATGAAGGAGGCGTTGCTTCTTTGGTGTCAGATTCCATAAAGAAGAAGAAGAAGATTATTGATGAGACTCATAAGAAAGATTTTAGCTCTTCTGAATTGTCAACAGGTGAAACCACTCACTCTTCTTGTATAATTGATTTATTTGATTGTCATATGCCTAATAAAAAAATTACATCTACATGTTAAACATACTACCTTCTGTAAGACGGATGACTTCATAGAGTTTCAAATTTGTTACAGATAAATTGTAGTAAATAGGATATAAAATAGGTTTGTATGAGTTTGTCACGCTTAAACCATAACTATCTTATACAGGGTCTTCAAATATTTTATGAAATTCTATTTAACCACAACTTATGTGTCAAATTTTGAACGATATATGATAAGCTGATAGTCTGATTGAATTGGAGTTTAACTGTGTTAAAATAGTTGAACTGCAATCATATATTGTATGATTACTACAATGTCAGTCCACTAATGTCATTGAAACTTGAAAATGCAGGGAAGAAACCATTTGTGGAGGATCCTTTAGCAGAGATGAATTCAATGTACGATGATGACTTGGATTGCTTGCTCAACAATTTTCCCTCAGAGATACCAATGCCTGAATGGTACTGTAGAGGAAAAAACCAAACATTGGGACTTGAAACTCAAACTGATCATGCTTCTTCATCATCTGGCCCCACCAATCAAGAATTTGCTTGGACTCTTGGATCAAGTTGGAATAACATGCCTGGCATATGTTAATTTTAGCTCAAAGACAAAAAAGAAGTGTGTTTATGATGTAACATTAGTTAGAATATGTAAGGGGTAGAGAATTTTAAGAACATTAAATGATTTACATGTAGTTTGTTTATGTTACTTAAATATAAATTAGAGTTTGGTTTAGCTATAATATAAACTTTTTTAGTTTAATGTGTTATGAGTAGAGATGTAGTAAAAAGAGTTTGTGTTGCGGCGCATTAATATTCTATAAATCCGAGCTCTTTGATATTAATTTGTTGGAACAAAAGAGTTTTTAAAAAAGATGAGATAAGAATAAATATTATTGAGTGAAATTGTTATTTTCATCGTAATGTTTAAAGTTAGTGATCGAGAGACGTATGGTGATTTGTAGTGGTAGGAGATGGGTAGAATGATATATATTTGTAATAGATATGTTTTTATCCAAGTATTTCTCCTGTCTCGAATTATGACATCTTAATATTAATAAAAAAAATTATAAAAATTATATATTTTTTATTTTGAGATTTTAATTAAAACTATTTTTAAGTTATGTATAAAAATCAATTCAATTTCATTTTATTTGAGCCTAGTTTGTTTTTAAATTGAAGTTTTTAGAACTAAAAATCTATAATTACCCAGAACTTCTCCTAAGTTTGGAACTCATAATAGATCTTCACCATTTTGACATTGGATTCCAAGTTTTAAGAATTTTTTTTATATTGTTTTGTATACATGCCTTTTAAACCTTCACTTATATTTTATTAACTATCACAATTTTTTACTTTTTAATTTTGTTATGATCTTTTTTTCCTTCATCCTTTTAGTTTAAACACATTTACTATTAATGATATAAATTATTGGAAGTTACCTAATATTCATAATTTGATTATTTATCTAACCATTTCCCTTCACCTTTTTAGTTTAAAAATCTTTACTGTTAATCATATAAATTATTGGAAGTTACTTAATATTCATTCGATTACTTATCTAACCAGTAACATGGTCAATTTTTTTCTTTATAAAAAACTCTATATAAGTCTTTTTATTTTCTAAATTAACATAAATATTACCAAACATAGCTAAAAAAATTGGGAAAATATAAATGTAATCTAAAATAAGTCACATCGATAACCTTATAAAATGATAAGAATATTAATATATGTATTCTAGTTTTGGTACCTAAATACTCACTTTATATTACAGGTTTATTTAGTTATTTTATATCAAATAAAATCAAAACTTTTGTAAAAGAAATGGATAAAATCAAAACTTTTTATCAATATGTTTCCCTTAAAATTAAAAAATATTCATTTTTATTCGAGACACTTTTTGTATAAGACTACCTCAAATGGATTTTATGAAAGCAAAAAAGTATTAAAACTTTTATCTTTTTTTGTTATATATTTATCTACAGAAAAACTGTTACATTTTTTCACTTATTTAACTTCTTTGATTAGTATTTAAACTTCTTTAGCGACCGTTAAATATATTGACATATTTTTTTATAAAAAAAGAAAAGACCAATGCTATAATTTTGTATAGTTTTCAATTTTAAATTTAAAAATTTATGTGTTAAACTTAACCTTAAATTAATATTCATACATTTGCAAATTTTATTTAATTATATTAAACTTTTTATACCGCTATAACATGCATATTCATGCATTTCCCAAATATACATTATCAAATTGATTCCTATATACAATTTATCATGTTTATTTAAATTATAAATGAATTTATTTCCTTACAAAATCTAAATTTAATATATATATATATATAAATATATATATATAAATATAAATATATATATATATATATATATATATATATATATATATATATATATATATATATATATATATATATATATATATATATATATATCCAAAATAATTAAATGCTAGTTAAAATTATTAAAATATAAAAAGAGAAGATCATATATCTTATTGTTGATTTCAAATTCCAAATAAATCACAAATAAAAATATAATATTTATTTTACCTATAAAATAAAATTGTCATAAAGTTTTATTGTATAATTTTAACTTAAAAAAGAGTTATTACTCCCTATGTATTATAATTAGTGTAGCATTTGTAAGAAGAGATTAATTGTTCCATACTACTAATGTAAAAGGTTTTATAAAATCAATATATTACGATCATCCATTTATATTATTTTTCAAATAAATAAAATAAATATTAAATATTTTAAATAAATTAATAATTGTGATTAACTCACAATATAAAATATCATTATCCGTAAATATCGATTAAATTCTTATAAAAAATTAATAGTCTAAAAAAATAAGCATTACTTTCAAATATTAATATACTTTTTTATTATATTCTTTTATAAATACTTAGTGTATTATTTTCAAGTTATTATTTTTAATTTTATCTTTACTACCGAGGACTCTGTAAAATTTCAAAGAAACAAAATAAAATATTATTTTTGGTCCCTTAACTATATTTTTAGGTTCAGATTGGTCCATTAATTATATTTTGTGTCAGATTGGTCCCTTAACTATTTAAAACGTGTGATATTAGTCTTTTTTGCCTAATTAGTGACGAATTTTTGAATTTTTTTCGTCGCTAATTAGACAAAAAAGACCAAAATGACACGTTTTAAAGAGTCAAAGGATCAATTTGACACAAAAAATAATTAAGGGACCAATCTGAACCTAAGAGTATAGTTAAGAGACCAAAAAGTGTATTTACCCAAGAAACAACGGATGAAATAATTCTCAAAGAATCTTTTGCTCTGTTTGTTGTATATGTAAAGCTCGTTTCAAAACAAACTTTTTGAGGAGCGTATCAATTAAATGTTTTCTAAAAACTCCTCTTTCCCCTATTGCAAGAGGTTCATAAAGTTTTTTTTAATATGTGATTATTACTTTTTCGATAATTAAATATAGAATTTAATTGATATGCACGGATAGTATAAAATTATTTTACACTGTTAATCAATCATTCTCATGTATTCTGTCACATCAAACTGTAAATTTTAAGTTAATTATAGTATATAACAGATTAATATATTCCTAGTAAATGATAATGTAAAATTATTTTATAGTATCAGTTCATACTAATTAAACTCTTAAATATATGTAGAAAATATTACTCTACTTTTCTCACGTATTTTCTGTTTAATGTTGTATTCTCTCTTTAAAATAATATTTACTCCAACAAATATTTTATTCTTTTTGTCAAATTGCCACTATTATCTGTTGTTGTTACTTGATATGGTTGTTGTTCTTGATTATTTTTTTAATTATTGATTTAAGCTAATGTGTAAGGGGTACTCAAACCTTTACAAAAACAAGATTACATACTCTTTAAACAAATTAAATGATTGGTTAACCAATCAATGAAAACATTATAAGAAAAAGACCTATAGGCCACCTCCAACCAACTCTAAGAAAACGATTTGATAGCACACACAACATCCTTTATCGAAAAGGCTTTCCTTTTAAAAATAAGATCGTTACGACCCTTCTATATCTCCCAAACAGAAGTATCCCATATGACTAAACCAAGTTTGTTACCAACCTCCCTCGTTAACACTGCACCAAAGTTGCAAAACGCTTCAATGGAGTTGGAGTCAATCAACAAATTAACTCCCAACCATATTCTGATTGCTCTCCAAACACTAGCAGCAGCTATACACAAGATGAACAAGTGAGTCAAATTCTTAGCAGAGGCTCAGCAAATCACTCACAACTGAGCAGGGTCGTCGACAACAATCCATCTCTTACACAACTAATCCTTAGTAGTTATACGGTTCATAAACAAACTCTATAAAAAAATATGAATCTTAGAAGGAATCTTAATTTTCCATATTTCATCCAGCTCAGACAACACAACATCTTTAACACCTCCTGTAATAGAGTCCTGCAACAACAAAGCATAACAAGAAGAAACAGAAAAGCATCTCGAACTAGAAGACTCCCACTCGAACACGTCCTCCTCCTCTTCTATAGGCACATAATTCGGTAACAGCAGGAAAATATCCTCCTTCTCCTTATTCAACACTAAGTCAAATGCAAACTCAGAAATAAAAACCTCACACTCACAACCCGAGTCACTCCTTAAACAAGCATTTGCCACACACAATTTCGGGTACTGAGAATGCACAAACAAATTTAGAAATACCTCTTTCAGAGGCATCGCAGCCAGCCAATTGCAACACCAGAAAGATATGGACCCGTCATTACCTACAGAGCAAGACAGATTACTAACAAAGAAATCTGAAGAAGAAACCTTGTCATAACATAATGAAGATAAGTCTCTCCACCAAATTGAGCATGTTTTTCTACCACCAGTGATAGAGAGTAATTTATATTAATTGATTAGATATTTTAATTAGTATTAATATTAGATTCTAGAGGTTTCATAGGTCCTTAGAATTGTGCGACTTGGATGGATAAGATATGTTTAGAGTAGTATTTAAAGTGTAGTGTTCTATTTGTATTGGCATCAAAGAAATCAATGAAAGTCTTTATTTTTATTTAGTTTTATCCTTCTCTTAATTTTAGTGTTTTTCATACTTTTTTTAGGGTTCCATTTTAGCATCCTATCAATTGGTGCTTTCATCTTGAACTTCAATCCTTCCTTCCATGGCATATCCATATTATCATTCCTACACCTCATACACTTCATACATTCCATATCAACAACACATAATTTCTACTTCACCTCAAGAATCATCTTCCACCTTCCATGAACATTCAAGTTACCATAGCTACCAACCTGAATCTCAAGATTTCTATTCACAACTAGAAACTCTAAGACAATATTTGATTGAAACTCAGAAAATCGAAAATGAATATAGAGAAGAGTTGAAGGAATTGGTTCAAAATTTTGGTTACTCTCTCAAAGCATCATAACTTTCTTATAAAGAAAATTCATCAGATCTGTATGGAAGACAACAAAAAGATGGATTTCCTTTCATATCAAATGGTTCAGACAATGTTTCTTCTGACTTTAGCAATACAAATGAATCATTACACAAACCATTTCATA